GGGTTCCAGCAGAACAGTCACTCTTCAAAGCACAGGGCAGCTGGAGTGAGTGGCGTTTGGAAAGTCAGGTGGGTCAGAACCCAGATTTCCTGACAGACTCAGGCTGGGCCCTCGACGGCAGATGCTTAGTGGGACACGGAATAAAATCCAGTGCTAGCAGTGAATATGAGCACAAGGCCATACAGTAAGCCAGGGTATGTGCATAGGGCCCTCTGGAGGCTTGCAGGGTGGAAGTGAGGGGCCTGGATTCAAGTTCTGGCTCTGCCCATGTGGCCTTGGTGTGTGATGTCACTCCTGTGTGCCTAGTTCTGCTCAGCTGGGAAGGGCAGTGGGGGCGGGAAGGGCAGTGTGAGTGGGCAAGGACTCGCAGAGTTCGTTCCTCAGGAAAGGGTTCAAGTTTGCCTTCCCAGGTGAGGATGCTTAGGAACGTGGGGCTTGGCTCTATGGAAAACTGCTGGTCAGAACCTAAGACCTTGGGGACTATTCTCAGGGCCCTGGGAACTGGGTGGGGAGATTTGCTAGAGAATAGAAGATTCTGGGGGTACCTAAATGGGGATGGTCCATAATGCCTCTCTACCCAAAGTGTCTATTCCAGTGACTATTACAATCCAAGTGGACTTTGGTGTACTTTAAAAGCAGAAAAGGGGAGAAAATCAATTGGTTATTTTTTCCTCGCTTGCAGAGACTGAGTCTACTGATAATTTTCCGCTAGCCAATTAGGAGCCACACAACCCTAATGACAAACTCCTTCTGAATTGAATTAATGAATTTTGTAATTCGTTATTATTCTTTTAAAAAAGATGCACCAGGAAGAACAAACCAACCATCCTGACTTCCTCACCCCCTTCTTCCTTTCTGGAGTACTTGCTTGTCACATGTCCTTATGATGTTTGAATTAATTTAAATAATTTGAAGAATTTTGAAATCAATCCACTGACAAATATTTTTATGCACCTATTGTTTTGCAAAGTGCCTACAAAGGGTCAAATAATCTTGGGAATTCTGGAGTGATAGGTATATCATGCGATGGCCCATTAAGAACTTCCGTAATCATCTCATCCACACTTAAAGGTGAGATTATCTGGGAAAGGCTGTTGGCATCCCTAAATTAAAAGATAGATACTTTCCTTCTGGAGAACAAGAGAGGCACGGCTAAACCCAGCGTGGAGCCCTCGCCACCTCGCAAAGGGTTTGCAACTATCAACTTGACAGAGACAGTTCAGGAAAATGAGACACTTCTTGCTCAAAGAGAGTTAGGAGGTAGCAAGGGTGGCAGAGCCACCGTGAGCAAGCAGCATGTGGAAGCAAAGATGGGAGAAGCTGTGGATGGAAGAGGAAATCGGAAATTCAGTGGAGAGAATGTAACAGTGGAGACAGAGAAGACGATTTCTGCGCTGCTTCACAGCAAGGAAAGGGGCGAGAGAGGGAGGGTGGGTTCTTCTACCGACCACGTTGTACTGCTCCTGACTCCTCCTCTGCAGGGCTGGAAATCCTTTGGGGGAGCCGTGGAGCCCGGACAGAGGGGAGGGAGGCGCAGGAGAGAACAAACACAGAGTGAATTTCTTGCTGCCCCTGGAGACAATGATTCCTTTAGGTGACAACCGAGGTTAATATCCTGAGCAGCAAGCCACAGCATGGCCCAGAGATGCCTCGCTCAGAAGCGATGCTTTCGGGTCCTGTCGTGGATTTTATTGAACTTTTCCCTGAAAGGGCCAACTCATCTCTCCATTCGGAGGCTCTTAGCGCAGCCTTCTTGAAAAGTTCAAGGACTTCTCCTATCGGGCTCCACCTACCTGGACCCACATGCAGCCCGTCCCACCCTGTGAGTCCCACTGAGGACTCCCACTCTCCTAGGGAGTTCAGGTTCACACACAGAGACTCAGCTGTTCACTCTGCAGAGGGAAAAATAATAAAGGTTGTGGCTTCTTCTTGGTTCCTCTCCTCTCCTGCTGGGTGTCAACCCCTAACAGGTGGTCCTGTCCCTCCTCATTCTTCAGCAGACTGATACACTTCAAAAGCAGCAACGGAGGCAGGGAAATATTTTCTGATTTTTATTTTCATCAAGAAGTGAATGGAAGAAAAAGCGTCTCAGGTGACAAAAAGCCCGAGTGAAAACCAGAAAGCGGAAGAGATCAGAAGCAGATAGGGTTGTTTGTTTATCTGGAGTTAGCAGCAGCATCTTGGGGAGATTTGAAGTCTGTTCACAACTTTTTTGGGGGGTGTGGGCAGGAAACACAATAAAGAAGTGATGGGGGAATCTTTTTTGAAAGTCCCATTTCTCACCAAAAAACATAGACTGGGGGACAGGTGAAGCGCTGACAACATGATCTCCATAAAGGCTGACCCTATTTTGAATGCTCCAGAAAGCGAGTTATAGGAACACCCAGTGAGGACCATCTATGCCAACCTTCAGAAATAAGTGCTCTTATGGTCTTCGGAAATCAGTGCAGTCTTTGAAAATAAGTGGCTTAAAATCTTTAAACCACTTCCTAAGTGGCCAAAGCCCAACTTCCTAAGGCGGTCCCAGGCCCACAGAGCCCCACAGGGACAAATGCTTTGGAAATTGAAGGCCAGGTTGAATTGGGGCTCTGAGCACCCACCCTTCCTGCCTGTGCCTTGGCTACAAGTGGAAAAGGAATAGCATCCTGAAGGGAGCTTGGCCCAGCCCTCCTCTCACTGCTCGGAGGCCCCAGGCCTGGGAGAGGGGCCAAACCCACAGCTCTGGTGCGCATCACACAACCCTTGGGAAAGTGCTATAATCCTAACCCTTTTAGGGATGGTTGGGGGCGGTGGGGGGGGGGGGGAGGGGGTGCAGCGTGGAGGGAAAGTGAAAGGGGGTGGGCAGCACATTTGGGGATGTAGGCACCAAACAGATGGAATTTAAATGAAAATACTTCAGCCTTTTAATACACAAGTGATCCAAAACCACCTCTAGTCCTCTTGCCTTCTGGGAATTATAAAATGTTTCAGAGATCACAGAATGAAGCATTTGCAAGTAAAACCCTGATAACAAAGTATATTTATACCAACTTAGCAATTTCTGAGTATATTTCCCCTAAAATCATATTCCATCTTTCCTCTAATTTCTTGGCTGCATATCTCCATCCATCTAACTAAAATCCAAGGAAGGCAAATTGCTACTATGATCATTTCCCTAAAGCAACTCTCATTCACTTTGCTTTTCTTCTCTTTTGGAATAGAAGTCTGCCATAAATGTTTAATTAAATGGAAGCCTTTCCACTGTTAATGACAAGCTGCTTGAAAGGCTTTTCATTTTTTAAGGACGGGTGTGTTTAAAACAGTCCCTATTAATTTCCTGATATTGATTCTCTGGCTGGGGAAGAGCCTAGAGTATTCAGCATACAGCTCCTCTGCAGACTATGTTCAAGGCAGCGGTTTGGATTGAGAAAGGGCACCAAATGCAGTATGCGTCAAATAGACCATCGCTCAATGAAGTCACTTAGCTATTCAAAACATGTTCAGCCATCACTCAACCGTTTGCACCAAGAATGTTGGGAGGGGGGCACGAAACCGGGCGCTCTTTCCCAGACATAACCATTTCCCAAGAGCGGCTTTTGCTCAGTTTGGGTTAGACCCTGGGGCCACATCAGTTTCTCCCTCTCCCGTCCGTTTCCCTCTCTTCTCCCCCATCTCCTGGCTTCAAGTCCCTGCATCGCTATCCCATGTTGAGCTTAACAAACAATCCTGCGGTCCCCGCTTCCCAGCGCTGCCTCAAACGGCCTCCGGCATTGGTTCATGTCAGAAGCAAAGCACATAACCCTTTCTCTCTGCACAGAAACATGTATCTCTCTGTTCACGCTTTTCTATGGGTAGCTGTAGCTTGTACATTCAGATACGGATATATATATATATATATCCATTCAAATGCAGTCCCTTTTATTCAAGTCTGTTGCTAAATGCAGGTTGTATGACCTGCAGGAGTTTTTTGCTTTTTGTTTTGTTTTGTTTTTTTCTGTCCTTATTAATGTATCTCAGAAACACATGCCTTCATCTGTACCCTGATCTCCCAGGCTTTACACTGTGGGGACCCCTTGGCCCACAGCACTTGCCCAGACACACGTCTCAGTGACCCTGCAACATCAAGGCAAACAGCTGATACCCCCGGTCCACTGCCCCCCCTTCCCCCCCTCAAGCTCCCCAAGCCCTTGCCTCCCTCCCGGCCTCCCTGCACAATGTCTGATGCTCAAGTTGACTTCAATGCTGACTGTATTGCTTCTGGATAACAGGCATGACACTCTGCGTGGAAGTGAACTGGTTCTCAGCCTAACCTGCTGGTCAGTTGCTGTTTATTAGAACTTGGGCTTGTTTCCTGTGAGAGATGTATGTATTTTTAGACTTTGTAAACGTTAAAGCACACAAATACACACACGCAGCCAGTCGCCCCGAAAGATATGTGTGGCTCATAGACATTACAAAATGCTCTTGAACTCAGCTTGAGATCCTGGAATAATTAGGATTTACCAAATAAGGATTCTTAGAAACAACAGATTTTTTTTAAAGGAGATTTGCAGATGATGATGTGTCTGGGACTTTTGGGGAGTAAGGGGAGGAGGAGGGGGAAGGGAAGAGCATTTTCGAATTCTTCATTACGAAAAGAAGAGCAGCGTTGAGAGAAGCAATTATTTTCGCCCCTTGTAGATGGCAATGCTACACCAAATGGCAAATCCTAATGATTCCAAAGCAGGCAGAGCTCATTTGACTTTTAAAGACAATCTCTTGTTGTTTTCATCATATCACAGATTATTCCAATGAAGAGGTTTAGGGGAAGGGGGGTGGTGGAGGCTTGAGAGTTGAGTATGGTTTCTGCTTATTGATTTTCTTTCCTCTGAAACTAACCCAACCAACCTTGATCTGTGGTGGAAGGAGTGAAGTAAGAAAATGGTGGAATGTAAAGGGGACTTATTTGGAGGAGGGTGGGGAGGGGGAGTGCGAAGGGGAGGGGTGAAGTGGAGAGGGGGAGGAGATGGGAAATCAAATACCTTCTAGGCAGCAGGTTCTCCATAATCCAGAATGGGTCATAACTTCCTCGTTCTTTTTGCTGGTTTCATTCTCACTGACACTTTTGGTCTTGCAAACCCCTCTGGAGTAGAGCCAATAGTCGGTTCCCACAGCTATGGTCATCAGACTGAAGGCAGCGAAAGCACCAACGGTGGTTAAAAGCATTTGAACACCTCGATCAAACAGCCCCATAATTCTTCATTATATAAACACCCAACCGACTTCTGGTTCTCGGAAGAGTGTGTGTGAGGGTGCGAGTACTAAAGCAAAAAATAAATAAATAAATAAAAATAATTCCACTACTAATATAATGGATATATGTGTGACTAGAGACTATGGAGAGATATAAAAACAGGGAGGTAAGAAAGCTCACGGAAGAGAATGTAAATTATAAAGATCACACGGGAAGAGAGGCTTGCCTTTTGAGATCAGAAACTGTTCCAGTTGCAGTAATCTTTTTTTTTTAAAAAAGGAAAAAAATAAAAAGACACCCCCCACCCCCCCAAGTGAGATGCCTTAATCTCTTTTCCTAAAATTCCGGTCTCCAGTTTCCATATGTGATAGCTAATTTGGAGATGGCTTCCACAGTGAACCAGGGAACAGCCGCATTCTCAACACAATCTCTCATGGTCGGGACCTAGACAGTTAGAGATTGTAAAAGCCGGGATGCAACCTTCGGTCTTCGTGCTCGGCTCTGCGGCCTGCGCCATGAAAATCCTTTGCTTCGCCAGTTCTCTTCCTTGGCGGGGCGGGGGGTGGGGGGTGGTCTCGGGCGCTTTCGTTTCAGACCAGACTTCCCAGTATTCTGTAAGCCCTTGATCTCAGCTGAACAGGTGCGGGGGTCTCGCCTTCCATGGTTTTGCCCCGGCGGCGGCGGCGGCGGCGGCGGCGGCGGCAGCAGCAGCAGCAGCAGGGCGGGCAGGCACGGCGGCGGCGGCGGCGGCAGGACGAGCAGCGGCGGCGGTTATTGTTGGTGGCAGGGGTAGTGTTGGCGAAGTGGGGGAGGGAGGGGGTTTCTCCCGAAGAATCGAGGCGGGTTTCCCTCCCCCTATCTGCAAAGCTCCTGGAAACAAGGGAGCCGGCGTCTTGCTGCAGGATGGGCCACCCGCCTGCCCCCCCACTCGCTGCCCGCTCGGCCCCCGGCGGAGGCGCTCCCACCTACTGCATTACCGGGTGGTGCTGAACTGGACAGCTCCCTGCGCCGCTTGCTCCGCGCGCTCCCCGGCTCGCTGGGCGGCCCGCCAGGAGGGGGGCGCGGGGCCGGAGTCCTCCCTCCCTTCGGGGGTGGCAAGGCCAGGGCAGAGCGTGGGGGGGGGGGCTGCCTTTCCTCTTTTTACCCCTCTCCCCAGTCCTAAAATGAGCGCTCTCCTGGGCTCCCGGAGCTCAGAGGAAGGCGTAGCTAGAGATAGCTTGCTCCCTCTCCCTCTCCCTCCCTCTCTCTCTCTCTCACTCTCTCTTCCCCTGCCCTCCCCCCTTGGTGTTTCTTCCAGCTCAGCCTCCTTCTCATTCCATCTCTACGTGCCCAGAGCTTCAAATACAACCCTCCCATCACAGTCAGATGGGCACAAAACTTCGACCCGCCGTTTCTCTGCCTGGAAGCGGTGAAAATATAGCCTGGATGGGTAATACAAACACGATCTATATGTGTTTTCACTTTGCTGTTTTGGGGGATTTGTTTTGTTTTATTTTATTGGCACGTTAGCTGCCTCTCCTTTTGGTCGTTCCTCTCTCGTCTCTTTGTCTCTCTCCGGCTTGAAGGGGGTGTGCTGTGCACTGTGTGTGTGTCTCTGTAGTTCTCCGTGAAATTCTGAATGTGCTCCTACAAGCAGACATTTTGGAAAGATTATTCATGGAAAAGGGGGTGCGAAAGGGTGGCTGGTGGCTGGGGCTTGGGCAATGATTTCCATCTCAGGGATGAACATGTTTGCAGGGGAAGTGGGAGAAATGTGAATCCTTCTAAGTTCTCGTGTCATTCATAAACTGGATCGGAAGAGATAAAAATCTCCCTGCTGTGAACACTGAAACACATCACAACCCCCCCCCCCCCACCTTCCTCAGCAGAATGCTATCCTGGGTTAATTACGGTGCTACCTCTTCTTTCTACATGTGCAACTTTTCTTTAATGTGACTCCTGGAGAAAGAAGCCCATCAGATTCCTGCTGCTATTGATTACATTTTTCTCTGATCAGTTTCGGAGTTAAGTGAGGGAGAGCACATGAGGCATGATGTAGGTGCACTTTTTCATTTTGGGGGGGAGGAGCCTAGAGAGAGGTGTGAGTCTGGTGGGTCCATTGGGGGTTACAGATGTTTTAATTGCATAACTCAGTTATTCCATACTTTCTTCTCTTTCCCTCCATTTTTGTCTTGAGATCATTTGTTTGACAATTTCTCAGTGATTTGGTGATTATCACAGAGTATGTAATAGACGACTGAATTAAAAACAGACTTTTTTTTTTTTTTGGTGTTGTCTAACTTCTTTCCCTTAGCTGAGGGTAGGTCTGCAGGTATAACCAGTGCATACTTGTTGGTGTAGAAAAATGACCTGTTTCTCCACCCTGCATAAAACTTCCTTTTCTCATGCTCTGTTCCTTTCTCAGGAGGGAAGGACTCCTACGAGGGGCAACTGCTATGCTCCTGGCATGTGGGAGACGGTCCCCGTGTCTGGAGAACAGAAGCACAATTTCAGCAACCTTTGCTAAGGTACCTTTAGGGTATAGCAAGACATTTGCAGACTGAGGCTTTCTCCAGTTTTGTTTCTTGTCCTGTGAGGACAGGGATGGGAACTGGGAGGGGAGAGGGGCTGATGTGCTGATCCACTGAGCAGGGAACTTAGCAAGTCCAGCCAATGGTTCGGGTGGGTGATTTTTTTTGGCTCTGGTCTGTAAGGAAAAAGTGAAGGGCAAGCGGGAAGGCCCCTTAGATGTGCTAGGCCTTTTTGGGGGTGGGGGAGCGGAGAGAGGCTTGGCTGAAGCCACACAAGACTGAGCAGCTTGCCATCTCCTACGCGTGTCACCTAGGTTGCCTCTGACCTGTCCAAGAAGTCCCTTCAGACTAGAGCCCTCCTTCTTAGCCACCCATCCCATTACCGACCAACCCCTGAATCTTTTGCTCAAATGCAATCAGTCCCAGAGGCTCAGAAACTTCTGTTTGACCACAGAAGCTGGTAACATCTTAGCCACTGACTCTAGCTGCAGCTTTAGCAGCATGTGATTAATCTCCTGGCGGGATAATCATTGAGAGGAGGAAAGGGGGTTGGGGGGAATGTAACAGCTTTGGGCTGTCAGTGTGGACAGAGCAGACTTCTGGAGACAGAACAGGCCTGGGGCCACAGGTTAGCCTCTGCTACTTACCTGCATGACCGCAAACGAGTCAGTTTCCTAGAGCCTCAGTTTTACCGTATGTAAAATAAACACATTGGCACTTGCCTCTTCCTCCTTTCTGGAGTTGTTCCTAGTTACTGCCTGCTTTTCACCGCTGCCACCACCACTGTGCCCAGGCCTCTACCGTCCCACTTCTAGCCTTCATTGTGCATGCATCATCTCTCTGATTTGTGAGCTCTTTGAGGTCACTACCTGTGTCCTGTTCACCATGATGTCTTGGGGACCTTGTGCAGGGCTTGATACATAGCCGATGCTTGATAGCAATGGCTGAGTGATTACAGTATGAGATGGGTAATGTGCCTGGAACACAGTAGGCACTCAATAAATGTGGCTTGCCTCTCATTTCTTCTCCCCACTTTTACGTCCAGTTTGGTCTCCAGTGTCCTTTGCTCTAACTCCTATTCCGACCCCCTTCCCCCTCACTGACCTGGCCTTCTCCTCAGGTCCCTTCTGCAGACCGAACAAGGCTGCCTGAGAAGAGCTGGCTCAGTGTGAGCCCCATTACATGGTTTGGGTCCACTGGGCACACATACTTAACAGCTGCTGAATGGGTGCTCTTAGGGGAGCAGCTTTGTGTGCCTGCGGTTGGTTACTTGGGAAGGGCTTAGAGGAAATTAGCTGAAATGCCACAGGCCTATTTTGAGCTCCTTCTTTGATGGAGTGGAAATAACATGGGATTTGGGTGCAGCAGACCTGGCCTTGAAGCACAAGGCTGCTATTTCCTCACTTTTGACCTTGGGCAGTCTCTTAACCTCTCTGGGAACCTCTCTTCATCCGTCAAGGAGGACCATGGGAGGAACCTTACGGTGTGGTTGTCAGTATCACATGTTAATAACAATAACAGAAGCCAACATGCCAGGCACGGATCTAGGCTGAATCCCACTATAACCCTATGAGACACGTACGATCATGATTCCCATTTTACAGATGAGGAAACCAAGACACATAGTGGTTTAAGTATCTGGCCTGAGGCTGCCCAGTTAGTGAGTGACAGAGCTGGGATTCTAGTCCAGCAGCCAAGCCTAAGAACCTATGTCTTACTCACTGTGCCCTGACCCAAGACACAAACTTTCTGAATAAAGGTATTACACCAAGTTTATTTACTTCTCATCCATAGGCTTGGCAAGAATTTAGGGAGTAGCTTCTAGGTGCTGAGTGTTTTCACAGAGGTTCTTACACCTACCTTTCCAACAACCCTGTCAATGCAGATTACTATCTTATCCTGCAGGTGAGTAAGCAGAGGCTCATATATCAAGTCAACTGGAGGAGTGGAGATTTGACATTTTGCACTGCTTCAAGTTCTGCTAGCTCCAAGTCCCACAGTTCATTTATTGGTTCAAAAAATCAAGCACCTACTATGTGTCCAGCACCATGCTAATCTCTGGGGATGTTGAGCAGGACAGACATGGTCCCTTCCTCCAAGGACCTGAAGACAAGCAGGAGGAGTGGACAGGTAAGGAATAGCCACATTGAGGTGAGGAGAATGTTAGGTGGTGGAGACCAAACCCAACCTAGGGCGTGAAGGACATCCTCCCTGGAGGACAAGACATTTAAGCTGAGATGCAGGAATGAGAAAGAGTTAGCTAGGCCAGGGGGTGGAGGATGAAGAGGAGCTGAGAAGAGGGAGAGCACTCTAGGCTGAGGGAGCAGCATGGGCCAGGTTTAAAAGGATGCACAGACGGGAAAAGATGATTGGCCAGTTTTAGGGAAGACATGCTAAGTATGGCTGATCTAAAGACAGTGATGGGAAATGTTTTAGGCTAAGAACACGGAGGCCATGGAAAGGAGGTTGGAGCCTGAGAAGCAATCCAGAGGAGGCCGGGGGGACAGGGAATATGAGAAGCGAACACGGAAGCAGAGAAACAGCAGGGCCGCTGTGGTGCAGCTCCCAGCGATA